AACTCCAACACAATAGTGGCAATCCTGGCATTTTAGGCTTGATAATTCTTTGCTATGATGAGCTATCTTGAACACTGAAGGGTGTTTAGCAGGGTCCCAGGCCTCTATCCACTAGATGCCAGTAATACTCCCTCCTTCCCTCAATTATGATAACCAAAAATGCATCCAAACTGTAATCTAGTAGCGGTGTCAGAAGTCGCCTAACTTCAGGAGTGGGGAGAGAATCATTATCAGCACAAAGCTGATCCCTATGAGATGAGGTCAGACGTGCTCCTCTCTCCAGCTTTGTCACCATTTCTGACGTCAGCTGTCCCCCCGACGGTACTCTCTACTTCTCTGCTGGCCATTGGCAATTACCACTGACAACTCGCTGACCATACTCACGATTATGTAGATTAGGCAAGTGTCTTAGTGATCTAGTGCTGCTATAACAGAAATACCACAAGTAGGTGGCTTTAACAAACATAAATTTATTTTCTCATAGTTTAAGAGGCCAGAAGTCCGAATTCAGGATTCCAGCTCTAGGGGAAGGCTTTCTGTCTGTCTGTCAGCTCTGGGGGAAGGTCTTTGTTTCTTCAGCTTCTGTTTCCTGGTTCCTTGGAGATCTCCACCTGTCTTGGCATCTATCTTTCCCTGTCTCTGCTTGCTTGCTTGCTTAACCTCTTTTATTTCTCAAAAGAGATTGACTCAAGACACACCCTATGTTAATCCTGCCTCATTAACATAACAAAGACAACCTGTTCCCAAATGGGATTATAACCACAGGCATAGAGGTTATTTGTCAGTTTTGTGATTTGCTAGGCTTAAAAGGATCAATTGCATAGAGGGTGGGAGGACCTCACTACCATCAAGAAGAAGAACCTGGAGCAGAGCATGTCCTTTGGACCCAGGGTCCTTGCACTGAGAACCTCCTAGACCTAGGAGACAGACAGCTGTAATACTGGAGAGGTACAAGACAGCATAAGACAGCCAAGGCTGCACGAGATTTACAACACATATTTTTGGAGGACACAATTCAATCCATAACAGGAAGTAACAGGCTACAACTCAGGATCAGGATCAACTTGGAAGTAACAGGAACAACTTAGGAGACAGGATACAGTTCATCAGTCAGGATAGTTTCCAACCAAGACAGCTCTCAGCTCCTTTTCTGCATGTCTGCAGGTGGCTGCACTTCTCTGCTGTGCCTGCAAGCTGGTCCCCGCTGGGGCCTCTGCTGCTGGGCCTGCTCAGGCAAGTGTTACAGCTCTTTTGGCTCCACTGTCAAGTGCCCAGAGGCACCCTACTCTACCAGCAAGCCTTCTGCCTGAAAGCACTCAACTTTCTCACTCTCTGGGTGAGCAAGCTCACTGTAGCCACCTCGTTCCATGGGCTGGGAAGCCACCACTGCCATCTCTTGCTGGTCTCCTGGTTCTCACTGTCAGTACCATCTTGTGCAGTCTTGGCTGTCTCATGCTGTCTTGCACCTCTCCAGCGTTACAGCTCTCTCTGTCACCTAGGTCTAGGAGGCTCTCAGCACAGGGACCCTGGGTCTAAAGGATGCACTCTGCTCCAGGCTCTTTTTCTTGATGGTAGTCAGTTCCCCCTTGATTTCTGTAGGATTGGTCCTTTTAAGCCTAGTGGGATGGCAAAACTGACCAATCCCCTCAGTAGGCCAC